AACATCTATGTCTGTTTGTGCCACTATGACAAAATACCTTAATGTAGGGTAATTTTTTTGTGTTTGGTAAGGGTCTCCCTGTGCAGACTTGTAGTGATCCTCCTGTTTTCAGCTTCCCCAGCACTGGGATTACAGGCGTGTGCCAGCATACACAGTCTCTAGCCGGCTCAGCATGCCTGGGGTGGCGTGACATGTGCTGGGTATCGAACCTGGTCCCGGTGCTTGCCTAAGCAGGCAGTCCACTGAGCTATGTCACCAGCCCTTAGATAATTTTTAAATAGGAGATATGTGTTTCTCACCATTGTGAAGACTGGGAATTCTAAGATTAGTACACCAACAAATTTAGTTTGGTGAGGCACAATTTCCTTTTTCAAGATGGCCTCTATGAGAGGATCCCTGTGTTCCCACATGGCAGAAATGACAAAAGGACAAAATTTGTCAGTTTCTGAAGATTCATGCCCTAGTCTTGTATCTAAAAGATCCCACCGTGGGCTGGTGAGATAGCTTAGCTGTCTAAAGTGCCAGCTTGGGCAAGCTTAGGCAAAATGCAGGGACCATGGTTCCATCCCCAGTACCACATGCCATGCTAGCCCCACCCCCAGGGTGGGCTGACCCAGCCAAAAATAAAGGCCCCATCTTAGAACACCACTATAACAGGGATTAAGTCAACATGAATTTCAGAGGTAACACATTCAAACCATACCATTCTCATAAAATATTTCAGACCATGTGCTATATATTCATTCCATCGCAAAAGTCATTCCTGCCAGCATCAGCTTTAAAAATGTAAACTTATCCTCTAAATAACTACTGTGAAGACAACAATATGCAATGTATTAATTGTAACTATCCTCATAACCTGTTTTGAAACTGTTTCATTGCTATTTTATCTTTTCTTCTCATTGAAATGAATTTTAAAAATTAAATTTAGAGTGTTGGCTAAATATATAAGTTAGATAATGGATGAGACTCCTGCAGTAAGTTCCTGTCCATCTGAGAGCCTATGAAAATGAACAAGTTATATGCTTCCAACATACAGGGATGTTGCGTTACCAGTAGGGGCTGGTGGCTTTGCCAGTGTATCATGTCAGTGGTAGCCCTGTCTTCTTAAGCCTGCTACACAGTGCCCTTGTAGAAGCTATCTGGAGTGGTCTAAACCCCAAGACTCTGCTGAGCATCGCCCTATTGAGGACTCTAGATGGACCTGCTCCCAAGCTTTAGATATTATGTAGATTCTTTGGTTATTAGTAAAGGAACTAACATTTGCCAAGAGCTTAATATGTTAACAGTGTATTTTATATAGGCCAACTCTTAACCCTTCAGGTAAATATTATTTTCATTTTAAAGAGAAAAAGCTAACAACTCAGAGAAGCAAATTAGGATGAAAACAAATGTAAACTAAAATAGTTTGTCATAACTTTCACTTGGCACGCTTAGACATTGGTACTATTACTGTCATTGAGTAGTAGATAATCAAGTTGGTAACCTGGTACCATCAATTTGCAGATTGGCTAGATAAATCTTGGTTTATCTGGAAGTGTGTGAGAGATGTGTAAAGCTTATAACAGTAGAAGAAAGAGCAGTGTAAGCCAAGGTATATGAGCTCACGCTTAAAAAAAAAAAAAAACCTTTAAGGTTGCTTAGCTTAGCAGTTTGAAATGGACTTTAATTAGATTGTCTCTAAATTAATTACTTTCTATTTAAAGTGCTGTGTATTGGGATAATTAATATTTATCTTACTTTATGAACTGTGGAGCTCCCTATTGAGAGCATTTGTAGCCAAGCAGTCCCTTCAGTAAAGCTTTCATTCTCTTTATTAGTCTTGGAGCACTTTGAAAGGTTTTTTTGATTAAGACTATTTTTAATCCATTCAACATTTATTAGATTCCTTAAGAAATCATTGGAGAAGAGCCATGATATTTTCAGAATATTGAAATTGGTTCATGAGGATAAGACAAAATAATGTTTGACTTATTTAGAGGATTATAGATGACTTAGGAACACTTATCTTTTTTTTTCCCTTCTGTTGGAAATATGCACCTAGAAAAATAGTAAAAATGAGAATGTTCAATATCAGCAGAAATCGAAGAAAATTTAATTCATAGAACTCTATTTTAATACTTACAGAACTGTGAAATCCCAAATAATTATTTGTCAAAAATTATAGGAAATATGGAGCTTTGGTTTTTGAAGAGGAAAGATGGAAATTTTGCCTTGGTAAAGTGATAGTTAAGATAAACTTTTTTTTATTTATGATACTCTATACCATGTATGGAAAATCATTTTTAATAAATTTGAGATTTTTTCATTTGATCACCCTTATTTTAAATTTTGCTTCTGAACCCTAAGAAGGAATATAAAATAACTGTGACACAAGTACACCTAAGTACCTGTTTACCTCTCTAGATGCTGGTAGACCACTTGTTTTGCTAGTCTTTGAAATTAGAAGGAATGTCAAATACACAGAAGCCAGAGTCATCTTGGCCAGATGGTGTTTGATACAGATGGATGGTTAGTTGTCATGCAGATCTCCTAGTTGGTAACTTGTTGCTGCCATCTGACTCAAAGAATCATTCACACACACTGGCTGTCAAAAGCATCTTCTCTTCTGTCTGTTTTAGCTGTCATGTCTGTGCTCTGTACAGAAGTGTTGACAAGACATTGCTGTTGTACATTTTCAATGTGGTTGTTAGTTATTTTTCCATTTTATGGGGTCTTTGATAGTACTGGAATGTACTTGCTTTGTAATTGTGTTTTAAAAAAAATACTATGACCAAGCAACAATTATCTGACATTTTAAAGGATTTTTCTGATCATGTATTTATTTAGATTTGTTCATTGAACAAAATCATCTCCAAGAACTTGTTTCACGTAATATCTAAGCATCACAAATAAACTAAATTCTACTGGTTGTTCTCTAGTTTAATACAGTGCCTTCTATTGCACTTTTACAGCCCATGATCAAAGTCTTTATACATGTTTTGGAATCTGTTTTCTTCTCAAATTACTACTTTTTCTCTAATAATGTCCCCCAAAAAGCCCTTCAGACTTTGTCTATTTTTTCCATTTAATTTTTCCCAACTCAATATCTTTCCTTAACTACTGACTTTTCTATTTTTCTTATTTTCCTTATAGAAATAAAAGCAAAGTTGGGGCTGGGAACATAGCTTGGCAGTCTAAGTGCCTGTCTGGCAAACACAATGTTCCAAGTTCAATTGCCGGTACCACATACCGTGCTGACCCCAGAACCCCAGACATGCAGTGCCAGCCGTGAAACTAAGTGTGGTGGTGCATACCTGTAATCCCAGCACTGGAAAGGCTGAGACAGGAGGATCACTATGCATCTAAACTGCATAGCAAGACCCTGTATCAAATAAATAATTTTTTTAAAAGTAGTTATTTCTCCCTTTCCCTTTCATGTCACTTGTGAAGGAGTATCTGTTTCTCTGATGTATCATTAATACTTTGGAGATAACAGGAAAAAATAGTCTCTTCCCCTGAAAAGTTCAAATCTAGAGGAAAATCAGACATGTTGACAGACTAGAATAATCGCTGTAATGTAAGTACAGTATATAAAAATTAATGGTAGGAAAATATGGATTATTGCTGTTGTCATTCCCTGATGTACTTTCAGAGTATCAATTTTTTAAAATTATTATACAATTTGAGCTATGTTATCAGGCAGTTTTAAGAATAGTTCAAGACTTCAACTTGAAATAGCCTTTAATCTATTAATTTTCCTAGCTGACATATATTCCATATTGCTCACTCATTATGATACGTTGTATGCAGATTTTCTAATGTCTGTTTTTAAGACAGATACTAAAAGATAAAAATTAATGGGCAGAAGCTTTCTAAGTTGATTCCATAAGAAAGTGTATGGTCATTTAATTTTGTCATTAATGTGGAAAAAGCTCATAGTAGATGAAGAATGGGTTGAGACTTGCATAACTTAGACATTTATTCTGAGCTTACCTTTAACCTGGCAAGTTTTTTATGCTGATTATTTAATCTCTGGGCAGTTGACTATATGTGCCTACTAAAAATATGGTGAAAATTGGTAAATGATGTTTATGAAGAACTTTGAGTTCTTTGGAGAATGTTCCAACTGCATAGCAGCAGTAAGATTACAATAAGTTTACTAATTCTTTAACTCTTGTGGCTGTGTGGCCCAGGTAATTTTAAACTATTAAGAATTTGCTATAGATATTTGGATCCTTCTTTCAGTTACCTTACCACTCTTTATAGCAGTGCAGATAACAACTGATGTGACATTGAGAGGTCAGGTCCTAGGAAGCCTGGTCTTCAAGTACACTTTACTATCGAAGGATCACTTCTGAGAATCAGTCATTGAACATGTGGTCCAGACAGACACAGGACTGATTCTCTGTTCATAACAATAGAATTTATGTGAATTATTTATTTCCTATATTTATATTTCAGTAAGCATGTACTTGATGTGCTTGGCAGTGTTCTGTGGGGACTATCAGGATGTGAAGGACTCCCTTCAGGCCACATGCTCAGGAAACATACACAGGGGTCTTTATCAGTTCTGTCAGTTACTCAGTTTTGAAGTGTCTTAATTATAAAAGTTTACCTTTCATATGGGTAAATATGGTTTATGTGAATGACATGAATTTTTCTTTAAGTTAGCGTGTATTTTTAAAGAACTTAATATAACATGTTTTATTTCGTGCTTTTTTTAAAACTGAAACTCTACATTATAATTTTTATCCTAATTGAAAGACTAGGCCCCATGTCAACCTCTTCTTAACTAAAATTTCTTGAAGATCATTTTTTTTAAGCTTACAGTACTTTACGTGTTTTAAGTCACAGTTGTTTGTAACAATTAAATATCCACATCTGGATCTAGTTTGTACCTAATAAATTTTCCAAAACCCTGAAAATGACAGTAGCGGGCAACTTTATCCGCCTCAATGGACAGTAAATATGTATTCATCTCTGTCAGTATATATCAGGCTAACTGGATTTCATGTCAGCAGACTGAGAACTATGAGCAGAGAATACGTGAGCAACAGGAACAGCTGTCACTTCAACAAACTATTATTGACAAGCTAAAATCACAGTTACTGCTTATGAATTCCAGTCGAGGTATGTTCATGTTTATTTTTTATGTATTTTTTGAACCTCTTAGAAAAAAGGTGGAAATTGAGATTTACTACTTTATTTTTTCACTGTTTTTCAATAGTTAAGATATGATAGAGCTAAACACTTTATTTAAATGCATACTTGCAGAATATGAAAAAATGGATTCTTGTATATACCTCATGACAGAACTCTTTAAGTTGATAAAACCTCCTTGAAAGTACTTTGCTTATGTCTATATTTTTAGAACCAAAATTAAAATCCTAAGACTTTATCCAGTTACCCAAAGACACACATGCAGAATATGTATGATTTCTAATAATGAAAAATTAAAGTAAATGTCTGATTTTTCTGATAACTAAACCTGGGGAGGTTCTGGAAAGCAGTGCTTCCCCATAGGTGGTGGAAGTACCCCCTCCCATGTACCTTGCCTATGCATTTCTCCCTTTGTAATGTCCCTTACAGTAAATCAGTGATTAAAAAAATTTTTTTAAGTAAGTCAGCAGTCAAAAAAAGGAAAAAATGTCCAACAGTTTAGTGGCAGTAAATCACATGAATAACTATACAGCCAAGAAAAGTGATAATAGACGTTGACTCACCAACAAAAATATATTCACCTAAAGAGAGTCACATGGAAAGAAAACATTCTCTCAGGCTTTCACAGAGAGCACATTGAACAAGCAATGGCTGTGACTCATCCACATGGCTGACACTGACAAAGATTCTACAATCTGAGGTACAGGATCTCAGCATAAATCCTGAGGGGATTTCA